ATTTCATAACAAACAGCTCTCCAGCATAAAAGACTATCATGCTGTTAATCTTACTAGCTCTACTTGCTTAGTATACACCTTATATGCAAATGTAATTAATCCCAATTTAGTGGTACTCAAAATCCCTTTCGGTCTTAGCTTTTATGATGTGACCTTTTCGAACACGACTACGTTTTTTTCAATTAGGTGTAGACAACAATATAATGCGGACACAAACATACCTGAACACAAAAAAAAAATCGACACATTGCCTACAGACAGTTAGTAAGATGGTGCTGGAGAGTCTTGGGAAAAGATGTCAGAGTTGTTTTGCCTTCCTGTGCTGTTATGTGCATTCGTGCACACTTCCCACCACCTGGCATTGAGGAAGAATTTGAATTTACTGGTTTCCATTATGCTCATGAGTAATAACTAAGTAAAATTGAAGTATAAATACCTGTTTACAAAAACTTATTTTTCACTTCTTTTTTTTTTTTGATCATCCTAGACATGTGCATCTTGGTAGTCCGACCAGCTCCACCTTGTGGCTAGTCTCCAACCTTGCTGCTAGGGTGCGCCCGCGCTCCTTGTGACCGTGAGAGGGGACTGGGTCCGAACAGGAAGTGACGTCATCGTGGTTATTTAGTTATTCACGTATATCCTGTTCCGCCAGATAGCATTCCTCAGTTATCTCGCCCATATTGAACACTATATATACAATAGCTATAAACTCTTGTAAACTATCCCTGATGAAGACTGTGTAGACAGTCGAAACRCGTAGGAYAWYMAAGTTTACTAAAGTTTACACTCCGTGCTGCTCACTAGTTATTTTTCAAAAAATTAAACTAATCGCATGGTCCCCAAATTATTTACGACATAATAATAACATTAGTCACGACGTTGTTATATACACGTCCCTTTAAACAGCATTATGTAAGCTTCTAGTCACTTCCTTAKGAAGTTGTAAATCACGTTTACATTATTATATATTGCTGTACTATAGTTGTAATAATCATTCCCTGAAGAAGTCTCYGTTAAGAGACGAAACGCGTTGGAAATTAAAAAGTTTTACAACTACTCAAAGAGTTCTCCTTGGTGCTGCTCACTAGTCTAAGTTAAAAAATTAAAAAAATTAAAAAATTAAAAAAAAAATAATATATCATTATTTTTACCTCATTGGT